TTTCACGTTATATTAAACGAACATCGAGAACATGCAAATAACGTCAGTTGAATAATTTAAATGAATTAAATATTTCTTAACACAAACTATGTAGTTTCAAAGGTAAATGAATTAAAATGTGTAAGTAATGAAGAAGATTAAAATCTGTCACCCGGAGCTACGCGGACGGTCCCATTGAGAAAGTAGCGACAAAAATTACAGTTACAGTTTACAGTTTCTAAATAAACAAAATAAAGAAATTAAAGTGATGCATAATCAAAAAAATATTATATTTTAAAACGAAGGGTCAAATTTCAACGAGAGGGTGACATCAGTACGTATCAGATGAATCTCTGATTTATTATTTCATATGCTAACACTATTCCTATTTAATAAAATATAATAAAAAAATTCCATGTGAAAAGAGACCTTTGTTCAGCAGTGGGCTATGATAGGCCTATGAAGATGACGAAAATCTAATAATAATATCAGATAGCCAACTTTAATTGTATAAAAGTTGAAAAACTTTTTAATTTCACATCAAAGTTAAATTTATTAAATAAAATTACTCACTGTAAATGTTCATTTCATATTTCCCAACAATAAAATTGTTCGAGTAGAGATGAAAGAGTTTCAAAGTGACTTACCTGGAACAAGAGATATATTACGATTAAAACGATTACTATTTATAGTATGAGAAGAAATATTATATAGAAATGTACTAATAAAAAAACATGTAAAAAATATGTCCTAGTAATAATAATTATTATGTAATGAGATCTAGGACTTTCGCGAGTATTCATTTAAATGAAACTAATACTTTTCGGATGTACCTACTACATACGTGATTTTATTTTTGATTAAAACTACATGCTCCCGACGTTTCGGTTACTTTACAGCAACCGTGATCACATCTCGTCTGCCTGTGATAAATGATAATTATGTACTCAAATTTACTTATAATTTAAAATTAATATAGAGAAAATTGAGAATTATATAACAAAAACCTAATTTCATACAATCATAACAAATTTAAACGACGATATATTATAATGTACAGATGATAAGATGTAAGAAGGAAATGTATTTTTAATATTAATTTATTTGCAGATCGTTAAAAATTTTGTATTTGATATTATAAACTAAAATAAAAACATTATATTTTATTTTAATTCAGTTATAACAAGTTTGAAACTAAACCATTCAATAAAATTTTAGTAACGAATATAATTAATTCAATATAAGCCTTTACAGAGAGAGAAGGCTTTTTATACAAAAAAATATCGCACATTCATCAAATGATATTGAATGATATATCCAATTTATTAAACTTATAATTACATATATGTGATGATCGCGTACAATTAAAACATTAGAAAATTACTAGTTTTTTGAAAGAAATAGACATTTTCTGAGATTTATTTCTTATTTCCTTCTGATATATAAAAAATTAATGTGTACTCTCTAAGTATTTAGACATCACTGATTAATGCATTCCCAAAGAGGGTTGATGTCAGGCAGGCGGCCGATCGTAAAAACAGTTAGCCAAAACTATTCACAACACGTAAGGCAGACCCTGGCTAAAGCTGGGAAATTGCCAGGTAGAAGAAGAAGAATATTAAATATATAATTATTATTAACTCTGCATTAACTCAATATCACCGATGGAGGATAACAATTTATGTTGTGACGAGACAAAGCAATTCCAGCGAGCGATACCAGAGCCGAACTCCGCGTCTCATTGCTCGTCTCTGGCTTAATTAATATTAAAGATTACTTCACAAAGTCATTTGTTACATAATACTTTAAATCAACACTAGAAATTTTTAATCTAACTTGTACATATGGTACTTGTAAATATACTTGTATATACAGTTGAGTTGATACTTGTTTTAAAATATTTAATGTATAGATCAATGTGTGATGTAAAAAAATATATGCATCTTGTTTGAAACTCGCTAAGAAATTCAAGACTTCCAGACGCTTTTATTCATCAATATATATTAATAATTTGACATTGAAAAATCATAGAATTGAAATATTTTTCTATTAATAGAATCACAAGTAGGTAGTAATTCAACATTTATATATGCATTCCCATTATGTCAACACCTCTACTATAACATAATGGAACAAGACGAATACACATTTAAGGCTAGTGTATCAGCCTCGGGAGCAACTTGAAACAACAACTAATTTGCTCTGAAAAGCTTGACATTATCTATTTCAATCTAAAGTAAATACAAACAAAATTGATCTAATACCTCTGAATAGAAGATTTAATAACAAAATATATAAGGAAATTACAGTCAAATATAAATATTATTATGATAAAAAACATAATTGAAACTAAAATATAAATATTTTTGTACGTAGCATCAGTATTGTGACCTCTCAGTCCGGCTAATTAATATCAACAGTAAAAACAGACAATTAAGCCACCTCTACGCCGTAGGCGTTTCGCTACGCCGTAGCATGAAAGCAGTTTAAAAAATATATATTTTTTATAATTTTAGTAAAGAAATTAGACTACATATTTTTTTAAGGACTATTTTTATTAGGAGACGATTTTCTAAGCGGATAGACAGAGCTAATTGGGTGTGAAAATGATCCCTTTCAAGTGCTACTTTGTTTTTTTTTCTCAGATTTCATGTAAATAACAACAAAATTTGACGCTTATATTTTTAAATATATAAATTATCAACAAAATTTTAATATTAATTAAAAAAATAATAATAATATAATACTTAAAAGTAATATAACCTAAAAAAACAGTACAATACAAAACATAACAGAAAATTTTAAACAATGACTTTGTAATGTTGAAACTGGAATTCAAATTGAAACTATTTAACGTTACCCCCGCGGAGTATTCGTTGAGCCAAATATTAGAATGAGTATTAAAGGATGGAATAATATTACATTCGTTCATTTTAAATATAATAAGGATCAAATAACTTTTGGTTAACTTTACTTAGAAGTTTATTAATATTTATGTTATATTAATTTTTATTCTGTCATATATGATCGTCAAATATCACGTCCTCAAGTATCGATAGTTATTCACCAGTCACCCTGTATATGAGAAATTGCATCGTTCTCTTAGTTTTTCTTATACATAAACTAGCTGACCCGGCAAACGTTGTTTTGCCATATAAAAAATAGGGGGTGGTGATAAAAAAGTAAAAATAATAATTCGTCCGAAAATATATAAAAATTAAGGGTAAACAACCCTTATGACTTAGGGGTATGAAAAATAGATGTTTGCCGATTCTGAGATCTACTCAATATGGTCACAAAACATCAAAATTTGTCAAGCCGTTTCGGAGGAGTTCTCTGTCTAATACCGCGACACGAGAATTTTATATATAAATAAATTATATATTTAGATATATTTAAATATAAAAATGGTCTCAATTAAAATCTTATAACTAACTCCATTACCGAAGTTTTATACAAACACACCTAGCGGTATTAAAAATAAACCTACATGCTTCGTATAATGAAAACCAAATTTACACAGAATCCTTCATAGTGAAGTTTGTGAAGCACTTTGCATATTGCCGGCGAGGGGAAATATTAACACGGTAACTTTACTATAGGATCTGATTCACGTCCATATACATATATATAAATATATATATTTAAAAGACACAGGTGAGACATTTATAATAAAAATATTGAATGATTTAGTCCACTAAAAGATATTAAAACAATCTTGCATCAACAAGTTTACTCACGAGAAAATTATTAAAAAGAAATAAAACTTCAAACAATTTTAAAACATAGAGTTAATGATATTCATAAACATTTATATAAAACTTCATTTATACATATAAGAGAATGGTGTGAATTAATCTGTAGACAAAAGCAATTTATTTTCCAGGACTTAGAAAAATGCAAAAAACCTGTTTCCTTTTTAATTAAAGCATGTTTCCCCAAGAACGTTGTTCGTATTGAATTGACCCTGGCTGTTGAATAAATACAGCTGCTATTCACTGCTGGAGAATAGTCTTACACCCTTAGGTTCGTAAAGCGTTTTCCAGCTTAATGTAAAGTACTTCGCAATTAACAACTAACAGAGAAAACACCTCCGATATTACATTGGTAATAATAATAATCAATGATTCTAAACTTAGATTCGAGAAAGAGTCAATAAATTCTGTGAAATTCATGATAGATAATTCAAACTAATAACATCCTTGAAAATATAATATGCTTTATTATAAATATGTATATAAATGAAAAATCTGCCTATAAAATTGTGCATTGATTTCATTTCAAAAGATAGATTACTTTCTCTCTAAATAGTATACTCATTAAATCTTAATTTAATACATATATCCCAATACAGTCACAATAATTTTTTTTCAGGAGCAAAACGAAATAGTATATACATATATACCAGTTTTAATAAATAAATATAAGTAATTACATATAAGTCGATACTTTTGGGAAATATTTAAAGACTTGAATAAAATTTTTGTCATCTGCGCGCTTCAAACAATCAATTTTCAATTCGCGGGCGTCGTGTAATTAGACGTCGCCCTCAAAAAACTTCAATCACCCTTACAGTACATAACACCCCACGTTACAGACGGACAGATGCACAATATACCAATGAACAGTTCGCGAGATTGGAACACAGTCCCAGAGGATGCTGAATTCTAATAATCAAATATTGCAGATAGTATTGGGCTTAGCTTACGATTCAACCAGGGGAAATGCGATTACATTGTAGGTTTAAAATATATAACTAGACATATAATTAATACTAATGCGACTAACTTTGATAAATTTCTATAATCAAAAGATTATAAAAATGAATGTTCATTCATTAACCAACTTAACTGTTAAATCTTAATACAAACAAGATTACGGTGTTAATAAATTAATCAAAGAACAGAAGTGAATAATCCGATCGAAATAAAGAATTCAAACAAAGCGTCACACCAATCAAAGCCCAATCTATTTCGAACTAAAACAAATGAATACGAAACGCAACTACACATACAATTCAGTTAGGCATACAACGGTGAAAAGTCTTTGTTGCAACTGTAATAAGGGCGACAATGTTGTATGGAAGAACAGTTGGACAAGATGGGGGGAAAGGGGAGTTCGTCGGTCGCCCAGGATACGAGCTCAGCCCGGGCGAGCTTGTCGCGCCAGAAAGCAAACACACCATCACATTCTATCAATGAAATTTCAACCCTAGCCCTCAAGCAATAACCTCTAATTTCAATCTACAATAAAACCTTATATTAAACTGTCATCTAAAAATATATACTCTAAGTTAAACATTTTAGAGTTCACATTTTAGTGACAAGAAAATTCAATATGAATTAGTGTGCTGCGGTGAACGAAATACTTCGCTTTTCAAGCACTAATTCGGTTATTCTTAAGTATGTGTGTAAGTATAATGTAAAAAGAATCTTATTGCCGTGTTACATGGTCTTTATTAGGTCGTTAGCGGCTGATGAGGGATGGGGAGTGAGGGTGTAAGTCTCATTCATAATCACCGGGACGTCGAACGCTCAGGTGGTTCAGATTTTAGATTTATTGTAGCAAGGTGAGACGGTCCTCTTTATAATCTGTATTGTTTTATGGACATTGTTTTAATGATACTAATGCTAGGCTCTCAGACACGATGTGGGTAAGTGAAATATTATTGTGAATTAAATTTCATATCATATTTCACTTTGGGGTATCAACCGTAAATTAATTAGGTAGCTCAGACATAATTAAGTGTGTGGGTGTATGAAATATGTTCTATATAAATTTAGGCTGAATTTAAACTTACATTTTTAAAGGATTACATGAGATTACAAATTTTTAATATACAAAAAAAAAATTGATTTGCATGTTAAGAATTCTTACGGTATTTTTGATTTTACTCTCAATTTTCCTATCAAATACTCTGAATTGTGAAAACTCGAGATCCCTTATTGACTCTATCAAGGTATTTTTTACGTATTTACTTAAATATAAACATAACGTTTATTTTGAAAATAGACCAACTATTTTTACCGCGTTATCTTTTAGGTCAACGAGCTACAAAACTACAATACGCTTTACTAATTCTGAGCTTTATAATGTTGATTTAAGAGCCACAGTTGTTTACGCTTGAACAACATGCTGTACAGGGCTCGTTAGTGCTAAAAACCCACTGAGGACCAGAGAACACTCCACAACTGGTTGTATTTCGCACATTTCAAGTTCAAAATATTTTTGTTTTTAAATGATGATGCTTATGTGGAAGCTATTTCGCATTATTACCGCTAATGGTGTAATTATGAAGATTTTAATAAATAAGTATAAGAGTATTATAAGAATAAAAATGGATACATATGTATATACATATTACTCATATTTTAAAGGTCCTGGTAGTTCATAAGCGGGGTTTCCAAAAGTACAGTCAAATTGGAAAAGGCCTCGTGTGGCTAATATGATTAATAAAAGGACGCTTATAGACAGACCTTTGATACTTGATGGAGCAATCAATTTTATTGAAATACCCTAATTGACTTTAAAATACGGAGTGAGATCAAAGAAATATTGAAATGGATTGATATGAATTTCGTTATAAATGAAATTGGTTGAGGCTTACGTTGGTTTTTTAAACGCTTGCATTAATCGTTGATTTCTTCTGTACTTTAACATATTGTTAAAAAAAATGGAAATTTTTATGTTGGAATTACATTTTAATATTTCCATGTATAATTTATTAAGAATCTCTATAAAAAAATATATATATGAAACTTGAAACTGACATAAGACGTTAAACGCCAACACTTCCCCGGAACAGCTCGTTGAAAAGTTCGTTAATCACAATTCAAGCCCGGGAACTTTGGCTATGACAGATCGAGAGGACAAATTTTTTCGCGTAATTATAATTTTATTATTACTTGTTGCTTACCACGAAAATACGGAGACGTTGTTAATGTTTTACGATGAACAAAATGGCGTCCGACGTAGAAAACAGCGACAGAATATATTTTACAGCCGCGATACCATAAAATAAACTTTACCACGACGACATAAAGCTCTATACGATCACAAAGGAAGGTTGTTCTCTGTACTTTATGAGATTCGTGGAATATAGCCTTTAATAGTCCGTCTGGGGCCTTTCTCGTAACTTCCACTCATAAAATGAGCCCGGTTAGTGTGTAATTCTTGGGGTCTGTCAAACTCAAGTTTGCCATTTCGTGGATCCACAGCGACACCTCCAACGTAAATGGTAACAACAAACATAATTAAACTTGTAAAACGACTTTCATACTCACCGTTCATTGACAATATAATGTGAATTTCAAACTATAATTTAATTGTAATTAATATAAATCTATCTAGCTCGTGTCATGGAGGAGTAAGTGTAATCATTTTGTATAAAAAGCCTTCTGTACAGCCGTTTCACACTTCACCCCAGCTAACGCGACGGGCTGACCAATTACTTTCATTTATCACAACCTCCAGCCCCTGTATCGCAACACCGGCACTTCCTCAGCCTCAGATTTATTATCGCTATATAACATGTTTGAAGTCAGTTTGTCATGACGCTTGCTCCTATTTAATTTTGATCACAAACTGTCAACCTACAACCATAATTCATTGAGCTATAACAAAAAGACAAACATTACATATGACTTACATTCGATATGATATATACAAATTTATTTTTATTAAATATTTTCTCGTATATATAATATTTTTTTATACAAAACGTCTTATGAAAGCCACCATCCACGTCTTATCACACACAGCAGTTAGTACACGTCTCGCGCTAATTTTTCAGATCACGAAAGGGAAGAGGGTTGACTTTACAGCGTGTATTTTTCTTTTGAAAGTTGATGTTTGTTTGAGCTGGGTCTTGAATGGACCGCTTGATTTTTACTAACGAGACGTGAATTTATATTCTTTATTATATATATTATGTAAAATTAAAATCTCTAGACGAGACGCTACTTAATAAAATTGAGCCGAAAATAATTCTAAGTTGGTTTATATGATACAGATAGAAAACATTCGTTCTGTCTGATATAGAATTCAATTAACAGTGGACGTGGGATCTTATCTTTAATTTGTTTTATTCTGTTTTTAAAATCTTATAACATTAAGCATTTGTCATTTTCATGTCGCCTCGTTGTCGCCAAATTAAAAAAACGTCCGTAAGAAAACTCATTACAGGACAGACGGAAAAGAAATTACAGAGCATCGGTTTTATTTTCTTTTGCTTTCTGCGATTTAAAAGCTGAAGTTGGTTAATATAAAAACGAGTTATAAATTGGCCTCCGACTGCTGAGAACGATTTATAAGCTTTAAGTTTTTACACTTACCAGTATCTTTATATAGCTTAGGAAGTATGAGTGAAAATTTAAAAATATACTTTAAGAAATAATTTATGAAAATTCGATCATATAATATACACAAAAAATGTATATTTAATATTAAAACCAAGGAGCCAACCCATTGGTACTTAGTTGTTACCGTCACCATCGTCAAAACAACAACAGGAATATACTATAACAAAACATAAAGGGGTATTACGTATGCGGACTTAGCAACGACTTGAGCCATTCATAGCACGTAACGCACTTTAGCCAGCCCTGACCGGTAGTTTCGACATAGGTGTAGGCTATTCCATACAAATTTAATTACATTTTCCAAATAATATGAAAATTATATAATGAGCTAAACGTGTGATTAGTAGAAATGAATATATTGATATCAATGACAAAGCAATGTTAAAATGTTCAAACAAAGGAGAAGCCGATAATCGCACGATCGTTCTTTTCATATCTGGTAACAATACTGTGTACAATATGTAAAATTAGCATGAACTGAACAAAAGATAAAACAAAATACGGATCGATTGGAAAAACAAACATAATTTGTATACAGTTACAAATTATTCTCTTACTTATCCCATAGCTTTGAATTACAATAGTAAAGTATTAAGTGACGATTAAAAGTAATCAATGTTATTGACAAGTGAGCTCAGAAAGTGATTAGGCCAAACAATGATCTTGTAAAATAGGATTTTACTCAATGGTCTCTAAATCCCAAACAACTGAACAAATAATTATATCGCTGTGTTTGTATTCGGAATAAGGCGCGAGACACAATTAAGGGGCGAAGGTTTTGTACAAACAGAGCCACTGGCTTAATCTATTTTCGGATCAAAATCTAGTCTCCTCTCAGCGCTTGTTTGATTATAATTTCCTTCAAGAGTTTGATTGTGAAGAATTGTATACATTAAGAGATTCCTGTCTCAAATGTAAATTTCGTTTGAAAAATTTCTTTAAAGGGCCCTTGAATAGAAATGTATTTTTATGATTAAAAATAAACATAAGATATTCTCATAAAATGTTTTATATCAAGCTTTGACATTTATAAAATTCTATATTATTTTTTTCATTATAAAAAATTAAATAGTTGTGTGTTTCCAGGCTAACTTTTATTAATAGAATTATAAGCCCCAATTTATAGTAAATATTAAAAATTGCTAAAACATAAAGAGCATAATCGTTTTCCAAATAAATGTAATCCAGGTGTTCTAATGGTCATGGTTTACTGCCATCAGGGATCAACGTTATATTCCAATCATTATATTGATGTGAACATCTTAGAAATACTCGCAAGAACCACAAATACCAATAATCAAATTCTATATGTAAGCGCGATTTGAATAAAATACAAACGAAATAAACACAATATATATACGAGAGTGTTTTCAATGAGGAATAAGAGACAAAGTGAGAAGTGTTTCGTCACGAAGTAATCAAATGAGACGCGAGCGACGTACGGAGGATTAAGAATTTATAAAGAATGGTGGCGGTGTACCGCAAACACTTTGTATGAGAATCTGTTAGACATTCCTCGGAGATTGAAACATATGTTAAATTATCTTTACAGTTTATTTACAATAAATTAAATTTTATTCAAAACTTACAAATAACTTACTCTTGCATGTTACTTTTTTGATGTTTAATGTAAAACTACATACTATTTATCGATAAAATTATGTATTAACATTTTTCAAAAAGAAGTTATTAGTATAAAGTGGCTTGTGTCCTGACAAAACAAACCAACAGAAAGGCTACAGGTGTGTTGACATCCTACAGATTATAGGTATTAAGGAAAAACAGGGGATAGCTTAAGATTACATAGATATATAAGAAAACGAAATTAAAACTTTCGGCACTCCCACTCAACGATACAAAGTTTAATTTCTAAGAGAAATTAG